TTTAGTCCTGGTTTAGTCTGGTTTAGTCCTGGTTTAGTCCTGGTTTAGTTCCTGGTTTAGTCCTGGTTTAGTCCTGGTTTAGACCTGGTTTAGTTTAGTCCTGGTTTAGTTCCTGGTTTAGTCCTGGTTTAGTCCTGGTTTAGACCTGGTTTAGTCCTGGTTTAGTCCTGGTTTAGTCCTGGTTTTAGTCCTGGTTTTCCTGGTTTAGTCTGTTTATCCTGGTTTAGTCCTGTCTGGTTTGGTTAGTCCTGGTTTAGTCCTGGTTTAGTCCTGGTTTAGTTCTGTTTGTTTCTTTCCAGATCTTGAGGAAAATTGAACCCAAAGAAAAACCAAAAGCTCCAGAAGTTCAGACTCAAAAGAAGAAAATCAAAATAACTCCAGAGTCCGAGGCCAGAGTCCAGACCAGGTATGAGTCCCGGATCAGTCCTGGTTGAGTCCTGTTTTAGTCCCGGTTCAGTTCTGGTTGAGTTCTGGTTCTGGTCCACAGGGAGCGGGCTCTTCAGTCGGGGGATGAGACGGACGGGACTCGGGTCAAGCGCAGGAGGACGACGGCGGCGGCGCCCGGAGACGAGGACGACGGACCCGAGTTCTGGGTCAAACGACGACAGAAACTGAAAGAAAACAAACGGAAGGAGAAAGAACGAGAGACGAGGACGGTGTTTGTGGGAAACCTGCCGCTCTCCTCCACCAAGAAGGTACGGAACCCCCCAAAAACACACCGAAGAACCGACCGAGAAGGTACAGAACCCCCCCAAAAACACACCGAGAACCGACCGAGAAGGTACGGAACCCCCCAAAAACACACACCGAGAACCGACCGAGAAGGTACGGAACCCCCCAAAAACACACACCGAGAACCGACCGAGAAGGTACGGAACCCCCCCAAAAACACACCGAGAACCGACCGAGAAGGTACGGAACCCCCCAAAAACACACACCGAGAACCGACCGAGAAGGTACGGAACCCCCCCAAAAACACACCGAGAACGTACGGAACCCCCCAAAAACACACCGAGAACCGACCGAGAAGGTACGGAACCCCCCCAAAAACACACCGAGAACCGACCGAGAACCCGTCAAGAAGGTACAGAACCTGCTGAGAAGTTCTGTAAAAATCCTGTAGTAAAAACATTCGTCCGTTCGTCAGTTTGAGCGACACTTTCACTGCCTCAGTTTGTCCTGAGAACAAAACTCACACAACACGACTTCACTCAGACACAAACTCACACCTGTAGAACATGTTCCACCTGTAGAACATGTTCCACCTGTAGAACATGTTCCACACGTGTTCAAATAAAGAGCGGCATCTCTGTTGAAGCAGCTGCAGTGTGAAACTTAAATCATCCTGAAAATGTCTCCAGAGTCTCAGTAAACGTCACGTTCTCTCAAATTTAAACAAAAAATTTACCAAATCTCTGCTCCTCGTCTCCAGTGGAACGTCTGTGTAAAAACCCAAACGAGTCTGTGTCAGGTTCTCCAGAATTCTCCTCCGTCCAGGAAACTGTAGAGTAAAAGAGTGAAGTTCTTAATCAGAATAAAGAGCCGAGCTCGAGCGACGCCGTCGCAACAAAGAACGAAAAACAGAAACAAAAGTGAAACTGAAGCTCAGACGCTCTGACCCTCTGACCCTCTGATCCTCTGACCCTCTGACGCTCTGATGCTCTGACCCTCTGATGCTCTGACCCTCTGACGCTCTGACTCTGACCCTGCTCTGACCCTGACCCTCTGACCCTCTGACCCTCTCTGACCTCTGACCCTCTGACCCTCTGACCCTGACGCTCTGACCCTCTGACGACCTGACCCTCTGACCCTCTGACTCTGACCCTCTGACCCTCTGACGCTCTGACCCTCTGACGCTCTGACCCTCTGACGCTCTGACCCTCTGACCCTCTGACCCTCTGACCCTCTGACGCTCTGACCCTCTGACCCTCTGACCCTCTGACCCTGACTCTGACCCTCTCTGACCCTCTGACCCTCTGACCCTCTGACCCTCTGACCCTCTGACCCTCTGACGCTCTGACCCTCTGACCCTCTGACCCTCTGACCCTCTGACCCTCTGACCCTCTGACTGACCCTCTGACCCTCTGACCCTCTGACGCCTCTGACGCCTCTGACCCTCTGACCCTCTGACCCTCTGACGCTCTGACGCTCTGACGCTCTGACCCTCTGACCCTCTGACCCTCTGACCCTCTGACGCTCTGACCCTCTGACCCTCCCTCTGACCCTCTGACCCTCTGACCCTCTGACCCTCTGACGCTCTGACCCTCTGACCCTCTGACCCTCTGACCTCTGACTGACCTCTGACTCTGACCCTCTGACCCTCTGACCTCTGACCTCTGACTCTGACCCTCTGACCTCTGACCTCTGACGCTCTGACCCTCTGACCCTCTGACCTGACTCTGACCCTCTGACCCTCTGACCTCTGACCTCTCTGACCCTCTGACGCTCTGACCTCTGACGCTCTGACGCTCTCTGACGCTCTGACCCTCTCTGACCTCTGACCCCTCTGACGCTCTGACCCTCTGACCTCTCTGACTCTGACCCTCTGACCCTCTGACCCTCTGACCTCTGACTCTGACGCTCTGACCCTCTGACGCTCTGACGCTCTCTGACCCTCTGACGACCCTCTGACGCTCTGACCCTCTGACCCTCTGACGCTCTGACCCTCTGACCTGACCCTCTGACCCTCTCTGACTCTGACCTCTGACTCTGACGCTCTGACCGCTCTGACCCTCTGACGCTCTGACCCTCTGACGCTCTGACCTCTGACGCTCTGACCCTCTGACCCTCTGACGCTCTGACCCTCTGACCCTCTGACTGACCCTCTGACCCTCTGACGCTCTGACCCTCTGACCCTCTGACCTCTGACCTCTGACCCTCTGACGCTCTGACCCTGTGACCGTGTCTGTGTCTGTTTCTTTTCTTCAGACTCTTCGGGTTCTGTTCAAAGACAAAGGTCCCATTGAGTCGATCCGCTTCAGATCTCTGGTGAGTCCTGCTGTAGACCTCAGACGAGTCCGGCCCGAGTCCGGCCCGAGTCCGGCCCGAGTCCGGCCCGAGTCCGGCCCGAGTCTGGTCTAAATCTTGATCCAACTGTGTTTCAGGTCAGAGAAGATCCAAGTGTGTCCCGCAAAGTCGCAGGAATAATGTGAGAACAACCAGAACTAGACCAGGACTGAACCGGGACTGGACCAGGTCTAAACCCGGTCTGACTCTGGTCTGTGTTGTGTGCAGGAGGAGCGCTCACCCGCAGAAGCAGAGCATAAACGCTTACGTCGTGTTTAAAGACGAGGAGAGTGTCACCAGCGCCCTCGACAGGTACCACCCGGAACTACAGGTCACCTCAGGTCACCTCAGGTCATCTCAGGTCACCTCAGGTCTCCTCAGGTCACCTTAGGTCTCCTCAGGCCTCCTCAGGTCACCTTAGGTCTCAGGTCTCCTCAGGTCACCTCAGGTCACCTCAGATCGTCTCAGGTCACAGGTCAGGTCACTCCTCAGGTCACCTCAGGCCTCCGCAGGTCACCTCAGGTCACCTTAGGTCTCCTCAGGTCACCTCAGGTCACCTCAGGCCTCCTCAGGTCACCTCAGGTCACCTTAGGTCTCCTCAGGTCACCTCAGGTCACCTCAGGTCTCCTCAGGTCACCTCAGGTCGTCTCAGGTCTTCTCAGGTCGTCTTGTGTCTGTTTCAGGAACGGTCTGGAGTTGGAGCCGGATCTGTTCATCCGCGTTGACCGAGTCTCAGCCTCAGCCTCGGTCAGTACACACATGTGTGTCAGGTCCCTCCCTCTGTGTGTGTCAGGTCCCTCTGTGTGTGTGTCAGGTCTCTCTGTGTGTGTGTCAGGTCTCTCTGTGTGTGTGTGTCAGGTCCTCTGTGTGTGTGTGTCAGGTCCTCTCTGTGTGTGTCAGGTCTCTCTCTGTGTGTGTCAGGTCCCTCTCTGTGTGTGTCAGGTCTCTCTGTGTGTGTCAGGTCTCTCAGTGTGTGTCAGGTCTCTCTGTGTGTGACAGGTCTCTCTGTGTGTGTCAGGTCTCTCTCTGTGTGTGTGTCAGGTCTCTCTGTGTGTGTCAGGTCTCTCTGTGTGTGTCAGGTCTCTCTGTGTGTGTCAGGTCTCTCTCTGTGTGTGTCAGGTCTCTCTCTGTGTGTGTCAGGTCTCTCTGTGTGTGAGGTCTCTCTCTGTGTGTGTCAGGTCTCTCTCTGTGTGTGTCAGGTCTCTCTGTGTGTGTGTCAGGTCTCTCTCTGTGTGTGTCAGGTCTCTCTGTGTGTGTCAGGTCTCTCTCTGTGTGTGTCAGGTCTCTCTGTGTGTGTCAGGTCTCTCTGTGTGTGTCAGGTCTCTCTCTGTGTGTGTCAGGTCAGGTCTCTCTGTGTGTGTGTCAGGTCTCTCTCTGTGTGTGTCAGGTCTCTCTGTGTGTGTCAGGTCTCTCTCTGTGTGTGTCAGGTCTCTCTGTGTGTGTCAGGTCTCTCTCTGTGTGTGTCAGGTCTCTCTCTGTGTGTGTCAGGTCTCTCTGTGTGTGTGTCAGGTCTCTCTGTGTGTGTCAGGTCTCTCTGTGTGTGTGTCAGGTCTCTCTGTGTGTGTCAGGTCTTCTCTGTGTGTGTCAGGTCTCTCTGTGTGTGTCAGGTCTCTCTGTGTGTGTCAGGTCTCTCTGTGTGTGTCAGGTCCCTCTCTGTGTGTGACAGGTCTCTCTGTGTGTGTGTGTGTGGTCCCTCTGTGTGTGTCAGGTCCCTCTGTGTGTGTGTCAGGTCTCTGTGTGTGTGTCAGGTCTCTGTGTGTGTGTCAATCTTCTGTGTGTGTCAGGTCTCTCTGTGTGTGTGTCAGGTCTCTCTGTGTGTGTCAGGTCTCTCTGTGTGTGTCAGGTCTCTCTGTGTGTGTGTCAGGTCTCTGTGTGTGTCAGGTCTCTCTGTGTGTGTCAGGTCTCTCTGTGTGTGTCAGGTCTGTCTCTGTGTGTGTCAGGTCTCTCTAGTGTGTGTCAGGTCTCTCTGTGTGTGTCAGGTCTCTCTCTGTGTGTGTCAGGTCTCTCTCTGTGTGTGTCAGGTCTCTCTGTGTGTCAGGTCTCTGTGTGTCAGGTCTCTCTCTGTGTGTCAGGTCTCTGTGTGTGTCAGGTCTCTGTGTGTGTCAGGTGTGTCAGGTCTCTGTGTGTCAGGTCTCTCTCTGTGTGTGTCAGGTCTCTCTGTGTGTGTCAGGTCTCTCTGTGTGTGTCAGGTCTCTCTGTGTGTGTCTCTCTCTGTGTGTGTCAAGGTCTCTCTGTGTGTGTCCAGGTCTCTCTGTGTGTGTCAGGTCTCTCTGTGTGTGTGTCAGGTCTCTGTGTGTGTGTCAGGTCTCTCTCTGTGTGTGTCAGGTCTCTCTCTGTGTGTGTCAGGTCTCTCTGTGTGTGTGTCAGGTCAGGTCTCTCTCTGTGTGTGTCAGTGTGTGTCAGGTCTCTCTCTGTGTGTGTCAGGTCTCTCTGTGTGTGTCAGGTCTCTCTGTGTGTGTCAGGTCTCTCTGTGTGTGGTCAGGTCTCTGTGTGTGTCAGGTCTCTCTCTGTGTGTGTCAGGTCTCTCTCTGTGTGTGTCAGGTCTCTCTGTGTGTGTGTCAGGTCTCTCTGTGTGTGTCAGTGTCAGGTCTCTCTGTGTGTGTGTCAGGTCTCTGTGTGTGTCCAGGTCTCTCTGTGTGTGTGTGTCAGGTATCTCTGTGTGTGTCAAGTCTCTCTGTGTGTGTCAGGTCTCTCTGTGTGTCTCTGTGTGTGTCAGGTCTCTCTCTGTGTGTTGTCAGGTCTCTCTGTGTGTGTCAGGTCTCTGTGTGTGTCAGGTCTCTCTGTGTGTGTCAGGTCTCTCTGTGTGTGTCAGGTCTCTCTGTGTGTGTCAGGTCTCTCTCTGTGTGTGTCAGGTCCCTCTGTGTGTGTCAGGTCTCTCTGTGTGTCAGGTCTCTGTGTGTGTGTCCAGGTCTCTCTGTGTGTGTGTCAGGTCTCTGTGTGTGTGTCAGGTCTCTGTGTGTGTCAGGTGTGTGTCAGGTCTCTGTGTGTCAGGTCTCTGTGTGTGTGTGTCAGGTCCCTCTCTGTGTGTGTCAGGTCTCTCTCTGTGTGTGTCAGGTCTCTCTGTGTGTGTGTCAGGTCTCTGTGTGTGTGTCAGGTCTCTCTCTGTGTGTGTCAGGTCTCTGTGTGTGTCAGGTCTCTCGTGTGTGTCAGGTCTCTCTCTGTGTGTGTGTTCAGGTCTCTGTGTGTGTCAGGTCTCTGTGTGTGTCAGGTCTCTCTCTGTGTGTGTCAGGTCTCTCTGTGTGTGTCAGGTCTCTCTGTGTGTGTCAGGTCTCTCTGTGTGTGTCAGGTCTCTCTCTGTGTGTGTGTCAGGTCTCTCTCTCTGTGTGTCAGTGTGTGTGTCAGGTCTCTCTGTGTGTGTCAGGTCTCTCTGTGTGTGTCAGGTCTCTCTGTGTGTGTGTCAGGTCTCTCTGTGTGTGTCAGGTGTCTCCTCTGTTGTCAGGTCTCTGTGTGTGTCAGGTCTCTCGTGGTGTGTCAGGTCTCTCTGTGTGTGTCAGGTCTCTGTGTGTGTCAGGTCTCTCTGTGTGTCAGGTCAGGTCTCTGTGTGTGTGTCTCTCTCAGTGTGTCAGGTCTCTCTGTGTGTGTGTCAGGTCTCTCTGTGTGTGTCAGGTCTCTGTGTGTGTGTCAGGTCTCTGTGTGTGTGTGTCAGGTCTCTCTGTGTGTGTCAGGTCTCTCTCTGTGTGTGTCAGGTCTCTCTGTGTGTGTCAGGTCTCTCTGTGTGTGTCAGGTCTCTCTCTGTGTGTGTCAGGTCTCTGTGTGTGTCAGGTCTCTGTGTGTGTGTGTCAGGTCTCTCTGTGTGTGTCAGGTCTCTGTGTGTGTCAGGTCTGTGTGTGTCAGGTCTCTCTGTGTGTGTCAGGTCTCTCTGTGTGTGTGTGTCAGGTCTCTGTGTGTGTCAGGTCTCTCTGTGTGTGTCAGGTCTCTGTGTGGTGTCAGGTCTCTGTGTGTGTCAGGTGTGTGTGTCAGGTCTCTCTGTGTGTGTCAGGTCTCTCTGTGTGTGTGTGTCAGGTCTCTGTGTGTGTCAGGTCTCTGTGTGTGTCAGGTCTCTCTGTGTGTGTCAGGTCTCTCTGTGTGTGTCAGGTCTCTCTGTGTGTGTCAGGTCTCTGTGTGTGTCAGGTCTCTGTGTGTGTGTCAGGTCTCTCTGTGTGTGTCAGGTCTCTGTGTGTGTGTGTCAGGTCTCTGTGTGTGTCAGGTCTCTGTGTGTGTGTCAGGTCTCTGTGTGTGTGTCAGGTCTCTCAGTGTGTGAATGACCTTTGTTGTTTTTTTGCAGCATGATCACAAACGCTCCGTCTTCGTTGGGAATCTGCCGTTTGGTGAGTTTAGACTCGAGAGAAAAACACGACCAACAGACCTGGTTTAGTCCTGGTCCTGGTCTTGGTCTTGGTCCTGGTCCTGGTCCTGGTCTTGGTCTTGGTCTTGGTCCTTGGTCCTGGTCCTTGGTCCTTGGTCCTGGTCTTGGTGGTCCTGGTCTTGGTCCTGGTCCTGGTCCTGGTCTGGTGGATCCTGGTCTTGGTCTGGTCTTGGTCTTGGTCCTGGTCTGGTCTGGTCCTGGTCTTGGTCTTGGTCTTGGTCTTGGTCCTGGTCTTGGTCCTGGTCCTGGTCCTGGTCTTGGTCCTGGTCTTGGTCCTGGTCCTGGTCTTGATCCTGGTCCTGGTCTTGGTCCTGGTCCTGGTCCTGGTCCTGGTCCTGGTCTGGTCTGGTCTTGGTCTGGTCCTGGTCTTGATCCTGGTCCTGGTCTTGGTCTTGGTCCTGGTCTTGGTCCTGGTCTTGGTCTTGGTCCTGGTCTTGGTCTTGGTCTTGGTCTTGGTCTTGGTCCTGGTCCTGGTCTTGGTCCTGGTCTTGGTCTTGGTCTTGGTCTTGGTCTTGGTCTGGTCCTTGGTCTTGATCCTGGTCCTGGTCCTGGTCCTGGTCCTGGTCCTGGTCCTGGTCCTGGTCCTGGTCTTGGTCTTGGTCCTGGTCCTGGTCCTGGTCCTGGTCCTGGTCCTGGTCTTGGTCCTGGTCCTGGTCTTGGTCTGGTCCTGGTCTTGGTCTTGGTCTTGGTCCTGGTCTTGATCCTGGTCCTGGTCCTGATCCTGGTCCTGGTCTGGTCCTGGTCCTGGTCCTGGTCTGGTCTTGGTCTGGTCTTGGTCCTGGTCCCTGGTCCTGGTCCTGGTCCTGGTCCTGGTCTTGGTCCTTGGTCCTGGTCCTGGTCTTGGGTCTTGGTCCTGGTCCTGGTCTTGGTCCTGGTCCTGGTTCTGGTCTTGGTCTTGGTCCTGGTCCTGGTCTTGGTCCTGGTCCTGGTCTTGGTCCTGGTCCTGGTCCTGGTCCTGGTCTGGTCCTGGTCTGGTCTTGGTCCTGGTCCTGGTCCTGGTCCTGGTCCTGGTCCTGGTCCTGGTCTTGGTCCTGGTCTGGTCTGTGGTCCTGGTCCTGGTCCTGGTCCTGGTCCTGGTCCTGGTCCTGGTCCTGGTCCTGGTCTTGGTCCTGGTCTTGGTCTTGGTCCTGGTCTTGGTCCTGGTGGTCCTGGTCTGGTGGTCCTGGTCTTGGTCTGGTCTTGGTCCTGGTCCTGGTCCTGGTCCTGGTCCTGGTCCTGGTCCTGGTCCTGGTCCTGGTCTGGTCTTGGTCCTGGTCCTGGTCTTGGTCCTGGTCCTGGTCCTGGTCTTGGTCTGGTCCTGGTCCTGGTCCTGGTCCTGGTCTTGGTCCTGGTCCTGGTCTGGTCTGGTCCTGGTCTTGGTCTGGTCCTGGTCTGGTCTTGGTCTTGGTCCTGGTCTTGGTCCTGGTCCTGGTCCTGGTCTTGGTCCTGGTCCTGGTCCTGGTCTTGGTCCTGGTCTGGTCCTGGTCTTGGTCCTGGTCTTGGTCTGGTCTTGGTCCTGGTCTTGGTCTGGTCTTGGTCTGGTCCTGGTCCTGGTCTGGTCTTGATCCTGGTCTTGATCCTGGTCCTGGTCTTGGTCCTGGTCCTGGTCCTGGTCCTGGTCCTGGTCCTGGTCTTGATCCTGGTCCTGGTCCTGGTCCTGGTCCTGGTCCTGGTCCTGGTCCTGGTCTTGGTCTGGTCTTGGTCCTGGTCTTGGTCTTGGTCCTGGTCCTGGTCCTGGTCTGGTCCTGGTCTTGGTCCTGGTCCTGGTCCTGGTCTTGTCTGGTCTTGGTCCTGGTCCTGGTCCTGGTCTTCTGGTCCTGGTCCTGGTCCTGGTCCTGGTCCTGGTCTTGGTCCTGGTCCTGGTCTTGGTCTTGGTCTGGTCCTGGTCCTGGTCTTGGTCTTGGTCTGGTCTGGTCTGGTCTGGTTCTGGTCCTGGTCTTGGTCCTGGTCCTGGTCTTGGTCCTGGTCCTGGTCTGGTCCTGGTCTCTGGTCCTGGTCCTGGTCTGGTTCTGGTCCTGGTCTTGGTTCTGGTCCTGGTCTTGGTCCTGGTCTTGATCCTGGTCCTGGTCCTGGTCTTGGTCTTGGTCCTGGTCCTGGTCCTGGTCTTGATCCTGGTCTTGGTCCCTGGTCTGGTCCTGGTCCTGGTCTGGTCCTGGTCTTGGTCCTGGTCCTGGTCCTTGGTCCTGGGTCTTGGCTGGTCCTTGGTCTGGTCTGGTCCTGGTCCTGGTCTTGGTCCTGGTCCTGGTCTTGGTCTTGGTCTTGGTCCCTGGTCTTGGTCTTGGTCCTGGTCTGGTCTGGTGGTCTGGTCCTGGTCCTTGGTCTGGTCTGGTCTGGTCCTGGTCCTGGTCTTGGTCCTGGTCTTGATCCTGGTCCTGGTCTGGTCTGATCCTGTCCTGTCCTGGTCCTGGTCTTGTCCTGGTCCTGGTCTTGGTCTGGTCTGGTCCTGGTCTCGATCCTGGTCCTGGTCCTGGTCTCTTGGTCCTGGTCCCGGTCCTGGTTCTGGTTCTGGTCCTGGTCCTGGTCCTGGTCCTGGTCTCTTGGTCCTGGTCCTGGTCCTGGTCCTGGTCCTGGTCCTGGTCCTGGTCCTGGTCCTGGTCCTGGTCTTGGTCCTGGTCTGGTCTGTCTTGGTCCTGGTCTTGGTCTTGGTCCTGGTCCTGTCCTGGTCCTGGTCTTGGTCTGGTCCTGGTCCTGGTCTGGTCCTGGTCCTGGTCCTGGTCTGGTCCTGGTCCTGGTCTTGGTCCTGGTCCTGGTCTTGATCTGGTCTGTCCTGGTCCTGGTCCTGGTCCTGGTCCTTGGTCTGGTCCTGGTCCTGGTCCTGAGGTCCTGGTCGGTCTTGGTCCTGGTCCTGGTCCTGGTCTTGGTCCTGGTCCTGGTCTGGTCTGTCTGGTCCTGGTCTTGGTCTTGGTCCTGGTCCTGGTCTTGGTCTGATCCTGTCCTGGTCCTGGTCCTGGTCTTGATCCTGGTGTCATGTGTCTCCAGACCTGCAGGAGGTGCTGTTGCGGAGACATTTTGAGGACTGTGGTGGTGTTGAGGCCGTTCGACTGATCCGAGACCCACAGACGGGACTGGGAAAAGGCTTCGGATACCTGCTCTTCCAGGTCAAGTACAAGTACTACAAACACAAGTACAAGTACTACTACTACTGCTACTACTACTACTACTACAGATTGTACTAATACTTGTTCTGTTATTTGAGGTACTGCACTGACTGTTAATTCTTCTACTGTCATATTTGGGTCATTTCATAAAATTTCAAGAAAATCTCACGCGTCATGTTTTTAAAAAAGTTTGAATAAATGACCAGTTGGTTCCTTCATGATCATGGACCGACCCTGTGACGTTTGAGTCGTTTTCAGTCGTTACTTTTCAAGTTGCAGCTCGTTTAGTTGGGGATGTGTCCGTTTACAGGCCCAAAATCACAACATTTTTTCTCAGCAGTTTCCACAGGTGGATTTGTCCGTTAGTATCACACAGTGAGTGTGTTTACAGCTCATCAACAACCCGGTTATGTGCTTTTTTGAGTCTCCCGGTTTCTTCATGGTTCATGTAAACGCAGTAACCTGGTTTCAGTGTCCTGGTTATTAGAAACCGAGTTACTGTAGCTGGTTTATTCTGATAGTAACAGGAGACTGTGACATGTAAACGCAGTATCCTGAATACTGCAACATCAAGCTGAGTCACATGTGTCCAAAAGACACTTTCCAGCCTTTTCACCACAACAGTAGCGACATAAATAAATTGACCAAACGAGTGAATCCATCCATCCATTTTCGTCCGCTTATCCGGGGTCGGGTCTCAGGAGCATCAGTCTAAGCAGGGACTCCCAGACTTCCTTCACCCCAGACACGTCCTCCAGCTCCTCCAGGGGAACCCCGAGGTGTTCCCAGGCCAGCCGAGAGACATAGTCCCTCCAGTGTGTCCTGGGTCTTCCCCGGGGCCTCCTCCCGGTGGGACATGAACACCTCCTGAGGGACACGTCCAGGAGGCATCAGAACAGATGCCCGAGCCTCAACTGGCTCCTCTCCACGTGGAGGAGCAGCGGCTCTACTCCGAGCTCCTCCCGTGTGACTGAGCTCCTCACCCTGTCTCTAAGGGAGACGCCCAGACGCCCTGCGGAGGAAACTCATTTCGAGCACTTGTATCCGCGATCTCGTCCTTTCGGTCACTACCCAGAGCTCATGACCAGAGGTGAGAGGAGGAACGAAGACTGACCGGTAAATCGAGAGCTTCACCTTTCGACTCAGCTCCTCTTCACCACAACGGTCCGATACAGCGACCGCATCACTGCAGACGCTGCACCTGATCCACCTGTCAATCTCACGCTCCGTCCTCCCTCACTCGTGAACAAGACCCCGAGATACTTGAACTCCTCCACTTGAGGCAGAGACTCTCCACCCACCCGGAGAGGACAAGACACCTTTTTCCAGTCGAGAACCATGGCCTCGGACTTGGAAGAGCTGATCTTCATCCCAGCTGCTTCACACTCGGCTGCAAACTGCCCCAGTGCTGCAGGTCCTGGTCTGATGAAGCCAACAGGACAACATCATCTGCAAACAGCAGAGATGATCCTGTGGTCCCCAAACCGGCCCCTCCGGCCCCTGACTGCGCCTGGAAACTCTGTCCATAAACACAATGAACAGAACCGGTGACAAACGAGTGAAATGACTGTAAAATTAAGAGCTGCACTAAACCTGCACATGTACAACCTGCACATGTACAACCTGCACTCGTGTGATCACTGAAAATCTAAAACATGAACTATCACCTGTACAACACACAGAACAGACTCACCATCATCAGCACCTCTTCTGTCACAAAACAACACACATAATCCACAGTCGAGTCTTTTACTCCAAAAGAATCTGAACCACATCAGCGACACAAGGAGCAGCTGTTTTTATCACCACTAACAGTTTATGCTAATTAGCCAAACGGTCTTAAGTTTCATTTCTGTAAAACATAAACAAATGTGATCAGAGTTGAATGATCTGATCAAACAGCTGATGTGTCTCTAGTGTTTATGGTTTATATGTTGTAAAGTTGAGTTTATTTATGCAGAAGATTTGACTGAAGAATCTGTTGG